TCCAAAGAGCTCTTCTGGAACTTCCAAGGTCTTGACTTTTCCTCATCAGTATCTTATCGCCTTTGAAATATTGATTTCACGTATCCCATCCTCTCACCTTCTTTTTTTAGTTTCATTTCACTGAAGTTTTCAGTTCATGGGTCAGCCCCAACTTCATATAATCTGCCACCTCCTTTATATTATTCCTTGAAAAGCTTAGATTCCGCATCCTGGTACTATAGTCATCACTTCTGTGAATATGTTCACCTCCCTGGCCTGCTTCTACTTCCATCAAAAGTTTAAAACCTATTTGCTTCCTCTACACCTGCAAATCAAGCCACTAAATGCTGCTGGAGAAAAACCACACAACAGGTTTGCCTAGTTTCACTTAAATTTATGTCTAAATCCCCAAAAGATACATCACTGCCCAAAATCTACTACATTTTTTCCCCCACTGAGTTGGAGTTCCCATATAATTTCTTCTTTCTCCTCAAATTCCTACATCAACTACATTAACGCCTCCCAGTTTATTTCATCATCAGTAACCCTTACACTTCCTTTTTGTACTCAATGGTGTACTATGAAATAAAAACATAATTAAGAATATAAATACTTTAAAATTGTTTTACAGTCAAAATGACCATAAATATTAGTGATGCCCAAGTAGGCTAAAATAACAGAAAAAGCCATGAGTAAGAAGCTCATTTGATCTTTCCCAATCATTACATACACCAACTTGATAAAACTTCAAACTATTCCACTAAAAAAATATATATATATTATTTAAGAATTTTAAAAGAGAAATTGATGCCATTATCATATTTACATTTTTAACATGGTAAACTCCATGAATGTAGCTGTTCTGTGAGTGTAAATTACCATATTTATCACAGTGAATGCTGTGTAACCCAATGTGTTTCCTTTTGGAAATTTTTGGTAAATGAAGCACAGTGCAAAAAAATATTCAAGTGTGATTAACAAAATCTCTGATTTTTTCTTTCTTACATGGCCTGAGTCCTATTTACATTAGTTATGTAATATAAATCAACATTCTCTGAAAGATGATGAGTTCTAATTCTGTGACAATCTACAAATAATTATGAGAGACACAATGTAGCCTTCTCTAGAGCTTTTTATGTTTCTTTTTTTTAATGGCCACTGAAGAACATTAAAAGGAAGTCTTCCAACCCACCATAAACACTTGATAATTACACGATTAAATAAAAATGGAAAATGTTTTAAGAAAATGGGAGGAGAAAAAGCTTATTTGGCAGTATGCTATTACTAGCACCTTTGAACCTTAAAAAAATCCAACAGCATTTATAGCTTATGCTATATCTATTTTAGTTATGCGAATGCTCATCTGCTAAGCACAGATGATCAAATGAACAGAAGAGCGTGATAAAACACATATTTAGTGGGCACTTATGAACTAAATGGAAATTAAGTTTGAGTAGGGCCCATTAAACTCTTCATTAAATAAATTTTGTTGCAAAAGAGTCACACATTATCACTGGCACAACCAATAATGATGATGCTGTTAATGATTTGATTATATGCAGAGTACAGTTTGTTTTCAAACTATAAAATGTTAAAATCTAGGTGCACAAACTTTAAAGATAATGTAATTTACCAGATACCTTCTTAATTATATTCCAACAATAAGGACACAATATATTGGACCATAAACAAACTAAGCTCAGTAGAGCATGTGGCTTATTACTTTTAGGAAGAACTAGGATTCTCTACATTTAACTTATCAAGAGCAGACTGTAAATGTACTTTAATTCATTAGTTTTCAAAGTGAAAACTCACATTGTATTTATTTTCAAGAGAAATATTAAGCCTGAAAAATCTCATAAATCCATTTATGGAAAGACTGTCATCTTCCATATCCTACTCGTTAATATAGTTTCTATATTCTTGGTTGAAAGTGATTTTTTCAGTTGGAGGGATGAAGCATATGTTAGAAGTGGGGATAGGAATGTCCCCAAGACTGTTAAAGTAGTAAAAAATGTTTTATTTACAATTAAACTTGAAATTTAAAAATCCACTGAAATGAAGAATGACTAGAACATTTTATCAGATCACATGGCCCAAATTTAAGCTCCATTCAAGAACCACTTTGCTTGAGAAATAATACAAATTGGTGGCTAAACAATCATTTATAGTGCCTACACCATGTAAAAAACTATATTATATATAAAGCACTATAATCATCAAACTTGAAGGGTAAGTAGCTTTTAGTAAGCTTAAACTAGATAGAAAGGGAATTCAGTAGCAAAGAAAATTCTCAGATACATCATTTACTTAAATTTGACATAGTATCACCCCAATTTTTGAATTTTGGCAGTAAAATTTCATTAGCTTTACTCATTTAAATGGCATACATTTATAACTCCCAAGATACTCAATAAACACTACCTAAGATAAAACATAGAAACCCAAACAGATCAATGACCTGAAAGTATTGCCTATTATGCATTTACTAAATATAATTCTTTATACACTTATTATACATTTTCAATTTTTTCTTAGTTATTATTCCAACATATTAATATAGAAAACATGCTGGCACCACTACGCAGCCAAATGCGGCAATGGATAGGCCAGAATATATAGGACATGGCATTTCAAAATTCCTAATCCAATTCTTAATTTAAGTCAAATTCAATCATTTGTCCTTTTTTCTTTTTGAAGTCAATTTACTATGGTGAGGGTAACCAGCTGAATATCAAATCCAAGTGAAAGAAATATAGTCAAGTAATATTAAGGCTCATGTAATTAAATTTATTTTTCATGTTTTAATTTTGATTAGCTTTTATAATATTTATAAAATGCACTGTTGGTCTCAAAAGGTTTTATAAACTAATTAGTTCAACAACTAAGACTCAGGTAACTGTTATCTGACAGGGTGGCACTTCATTTCTGGCCACATATGTATATCCTATCGTCATTTCTATTGTTAATACCAATAAAATGGAACTGTTATATAGTAAGAAATATGGCAACTAAATACCCCCTTCCCACCCTCCAAAAAAGAACAATGTATCGCTTTAACTTTGTTAGGAGTCACAAAAATTTTTATTTAGGAAAAATATTTCCTTCAGTGTTTGATAATGAATTTTATTTAAATGAATAATTTACTTTTACTTTTCTGTGCAGACCAATTAAAAAGTATGCCTCTTTCCTTTCATAAGCAAACTCTAATTCTGCATGGCAGATAAGAAATTAATACTTTACTTTCTTCTACCTTAAAAATTAATTATGAAATTTTCCTCATTATGAACTAGTTATTTCTGTATGGATTGTTGTGATGCGGCTGTTAAAAAAAAAGTTAGTTAAAGATATGGACACATGGGAAACAAATCATAAACTATAATACTAGTTTATAATGAAATATATTAAACATTGTTTAAATATTAAACAGCAAAATACTCCTATATTAAATAAATAAGACTTGAATTTGTCATGTGGAACTATAGGCCAATACCATCAGTAAGGGGGACAGTCTAGTGCAAAGGGTGGCCACCAAAAGAAAAAACAAATCGGAGAAGAGAAGAGAAGGAAGAGAGAGAGAGACATTAAGAGGAAGAGGGGAGAGAAGGAAGGAAAGAAAGGAGATGAGGAAAACATTTAATACTGGCATTGTTTTCAATAACAAATTAAATCAGGGATTCTCAATCCTTTCTGAATATTAAATTACCTAGAGAACTTTTTAAAAATACTGATCAGGTCTCAGCCCAAATTAAATCAGAATCAGGAATCAGGCAATAGTATATTTAAATGGTCCCCCAAATGATTCTAATGTGTAGTCAGGGTTGAGAGTTACTGACTGAAACCTACAAGCTTCTTAATGTTACCCGACTCAGAAAGTGTCCTATGAATAAGAAATGGAGTTTTCTTTTACCAGTGGGACAAGACAAGGGTATCTCCAATTAACAGTAACTTATGGATAAGTCAAGTTTATTAATGTACACCTCATTTCCACTAAAATATCTGTGTATACCTCTTCATTCCTTGTAATTCTATATTCTCAAACTCCAAAATCTAGTCAAAGTACTTTTTGTAATAAACCAGTCACAATGAAAAGATCAGTAATTTGTGAATATAAATGATTTACTGAATGCCTATATATGCAAGGCACAGTGATAGGTGCTGCTGTAGGGCTTGGGAGTCATGAGATAATACGATTCCTGAAAAAAATGGTTTTTGGAATTAATGGCTATTAAATTAATTCTATGGGCCTAAATAAGGGACTGAACTGAAAAAAGAAAAAGAAAATAAGCACATACTAAGGGTCTGATTTTAAAATACATAGCATAGCATATTTGTACTTTTCCTAATGTTCCTTTACAGTATTTCCAGAAGCCTCTGAATATACATAAGGCAAATTCAAGATAGAAAAATAAACCCTGTTTAAAGTAGATGTTCCCAATTTTAACCATACTCTGTAATCAAGTAAATTTCATATATGACATAAGTATAAATACTAAAAATCTTTATAGAAAGGTAGTTCTTGTCCACTTGTAGTAGTCGTAACAAGTAATCTTACATTAAAATATCACAGATTCTAGTCCTTGATGATTTCATCATGGAGAAAGTTTATACAATACATAATTTATTTTGAAAACAGTTTATATGCTGAGAAATTCTAAAGTGAACAAATTTGAGTTCTTTTTTGTTTTCAAGAAGAGAGGATGCAGAAAAAGGGGGTAGAATCTGTTCAAACCTTATAAATAACCTACACTCTAATAATTTAAATGCTGACTGCTTTTTGTAAGAACCTAGTGAATTTCATATGAATAAATATGTTTTCTATTCACTATTGGTATGGACTTTTCTGATTACTTTAAAAATAAATAATAAGTGCTTCTCATTTAGCATTAAATTTCAAAATGGGGCTAGCTAATGTCAGCATAACGTAAGAAGCAGCTAAATGTTTACCCCCCAAAAATGTTAACCTCAGAGATCATGGCGGGGGGGGGAGGGAATGGAGGAAAAAAAAATGACACAAGATCAATGATCAGCAACGTTCTCATGGCAAATATCTCTTTAGGGGAGTAGAGGTTCCAAGTTGTTTTTAAGTAATAAAAGGTGAAATCAAGACTGAAGGAAAATGCTCATTCATTTGTACCTTGGATGCAACACTCTGAAGTAGAGAAGTAGTAAAATATTTTACTAAGTTAAAATATAGGTTTTATATTTTATATGATATTGAATACGCACATAAAAATACCAGTGTTTTTATCTTGTTTCTGTTCAGACACTTAAGCAAATGTGTTCTTTGGTGTCTGGGGGAGTTTATCAATATTTAGGGATAAGAACTCCAAGAGCAACATGCCTAGAAATAGAAGACTCAAAATCCTATGCCATACATATAAAGTAAGAATCAAAGGTAAACTTATGAGAAAAGGTAAGAAAGTTAAAGTTACATTGCAGTAGGACTAATACATTTCCTTCCCCCAAACATATTCTGGCTCCCAAAATAAAAAGCACTATAGCCTATCAGGTTTTTAATCTGTGTTTTGAGATTTTTCAAGTGGAAAGATAGCACAGATAGAAATATATCATTCTTAAGTTTTAAAATCACCAAAGTCAGTGAGAAGAATGTACATTCATTAAATGTATTCATTGTAAGTAAAGAATTCTTGAAAAGGCTGAACAGGTCAACCAAAGCTGAAGAATTGTTCTTGATTTTTCATCATTCTTTTTTAAATAAAGAATAAGTATAGGTATAGTATACATACAGGTTGACATTCTGATTCATTCAAAATAGTCACATCCCTTTGCTAGTTTTGGAAGTTCCAGAGACTAAAATTTAATACCATTCATAACATAGTATTTTCAATAAAAGGAATTATAGAGCAATGAAAAATCTGAAGCAAGGTGGCTTAGAGAGCCTTATAACCTCTAAATATACACACATTTATAACCTGTATTTATTTTCTAAAGAAACAAATTTTAAGTAATGCTAATTTAACCAATGAGAAAAAACTTCTATCAAAATATACAATTTCCATTACAGACTAGAAGGCTAATATTAAAAAAATAGTTGTAAGCCAAAAAGTTTGCTTATATGGATGACAAGCATCATCCCTTTGAAGCATAAAGCATCAAATAAGGTCTTATAAAAGATCGATCTGTGACCTTCTTCATTTGTAAGTTCTTGATAAATTCATAAAGCTTGAGTTTCAGTCTTTAGATCAAAGTACATCCATGCTTCTTAATCCAGATCTCCAGAAAAAGGGGAAACCAAGTAAATTCAGAATCTCAAGTGGGATTTATGCTTTACCATGTACCTGAAAAATAATAATATGTTATAATGATTACATGAATTGTAGGATTTTTAGAATATTATATGTAAAAATAGGTTAACATTTTTTTAAACGTAAAATTCAAAAGTGAACAGGATTTTTTGTTTTCTAAAAAAGTGAAAACATGATATTGTACTTTGGAAATACAGAATAAAAACTTTTGAAGCCAGAAGAAACATTCCTCCTATTAAATTCTATAATCTCAGAGCTTCTGGCTAGAATAATAAATGTTTCTCTTTAATATTATCATCAGTTATAATCACTGGGTTACCTCTGACTTTGGAAAACCCTTAATTTTCAGCAAGAGATTTATACCAAGAAGGTGATACATTTTAAAGAACACCCAAACAAAAATAAATTTAGTGGTATTGTGATCATATGCTGTTCTTAAATTTTCCAATTATAAAACTGATGTTACTGTAAAGGGGCTTTAAGAATACTATTTATAAAAAAAAAAAAGAATACTATTTATAATAGTAATTAAATTCAAAAACTCTATTCCTTTCACAAGCTACCCTTAACTCACATCCAGTCAGTGACCTTTTAATACTGGCAAAAAACCCCACAAAAAAACCTGTAGGGATCACTTAATCCAAGCCCCTTGGATAGACGGAAAACAAGGTTCGGAAAGGTCACACAGTTCATTAGAGTCAGATCACAAAATCAGAATGAAAATCTAGGTCTTCTGACTCAGAATTTACTGTTCTTTCTATCCAGCTATGTACCCCTTCTCCATCTGTTTCTAAAATCAATACAACAAAGATATTTGTTAATTATCTACTGGAGATCAGCAACAAATCAGTGTTCGAAAAAGGAAATTAGGGGATATGTTCACAACTTTAATGAACTTAATGTCTAACTGAGGAAAAAGGAAAATTACTATAATAAAGCAGAAGTAAGTGCATTTTAGGATCAGAATTACCTATCCAATGTTTCCCAGAATCGTAAGAAAACTGGTCTATCCAAATGACGTTTGTGATAGCTGAGTTCTAATACTGTTACATCCCATTTCTGAACGTTTGGATCTAGACGAACTTCATCATATTTGAGATGGAAGGCTTTAACTATATGGGGGGAAATAATATTTTTAATTCAAACTGCAATCAAAATTATAGAAATATTTTCTGAAAGAATAAAAATATCCAATACAGACATTAACCAAAAAACTAAACAAAACAAAAAACTTTAAAGATTAATCTTTCTTCAACCAAATGAAACATTATAACCAAAGTGATCTTTGAAATAGATGCTAATAAGCACTGTGGCATCCTCAAAAACATTCAATTCAACAAATATCTACTGAAGGTTTATACATACCAGCTACTAGGAGTGAAATGAGGAATAAGGGAGATAAAACACATACGGTCTGGTGAAGGATAAAAAAATCTATTCAAATAAAGTATGATAAAGGTGCAGTATATCACAGTAACATAAAAGTACCTTACCCAGACCATGGAATTCAGAAAATGCTAAGACCTAAAAGTTTGAGTAAGAATTAGGCAAACACAGAACAAAAGTGACCCAGTTAGCCAAGAACATGCTCAAAGAGAAATGGTTTCACTTAGAAACTAAAGAAATTTAACGGAATTGCATCATACAAAGTAATGTAAAGAATGTTTAAAGGTAAGACCACAGATTGAGAATAATGTTAGCCGTGTAGGCCCCTTATATTAAGGGGTCTGGAGAACCACTGTAAAGCGTTCCGCTGTGACTATTGATACAATTTAGTAATCCAGAAGAGACATTTGCTAAACTTGTGAGAAGATATAGGCCTGGCAAGAAAAAGATTCAGGAAATAATTAGGGAGTAAGAACTAACAGAACTTGGTAAATGATGAAAAGAGAAAAATTTGGAAGGCCTCTTGAGAGGTTACCTAGAAGTAGATAATTGATATAAAAAGTTGAGTCTACAGCAGCCCCGGTGGCTCAGCGGTTTAGTGCCGCCTGCAGCCCAGGGTGTGATCCTGGGGACCCCGGATCGAGTCCCACATCAGGCTCCCTGCATGGGGCCTGCTTCTCCCTCTGCCTGTGTCTCTGCCTCTCTCTCTGTCTCCATGTCTCTCATGAATAAATAAATAAATAAAATCTTTAAAAAAAAAAGTTGAGTCTAGCAAAAAGATCTAGAAGATTTCAGGCAGAGGGAATAGCTGGTAAAAAGGCTCTGAAATGAAAGCCACCGTGGCACATTCTATAAACAAGAATAACTTCTTTTATAGGCAATGTCCTATATGTAGAATTCAGCTATGGTAAAAAAATCTGAATTTATTTCAAATGTGATAGTAAGTCACTAGAAAGTTTAGAGTAAGAAGGTGAAATTATCTGGTTTCCAGTTTTAACAGTTGGTTTTGGGTGTTGGGCAAAAGAAGACTCAAAAGGCAAAACCTCCCAAGTGGCATATATTGCAAAAGGTTAACAAATGTACCATTAAGTATTATTTCCAATCTTTCACTGTCCCTGATTATCCAGTTGAATCATCCTCATCCTGGCTAGTTTATTTTGTAAACAGTTTACCACCAGTGAAGTTTGTTTTACATTACACATGCAAGATGTTTAGCTTTTCTTTCAATTTACTTTTCTCCTAACATATAATTATTGCTGTCATCATTCTCATCCAGTATTTGAGGTCTTTAAGGAGAAAAATGATTGACTTTGTTAATTTTTTCTGAAAACTACTTTATGGATTGCTTGTTCCACACTGCTGATAGCCTATTCACTTTCAATGTTAACAATGAATCAAGGTGTAATTCTTGATGGAAATCCAAAATGAATCATTAGTGCCCACAAAAAGAAACATAAACATTACTTCTAAATTATTATGCTTTTATATAATTAAAGATCCCCTCATCAGCACATTACTCATTTTGAATTTAATTCAATTTAATAAATTGAATTTAATTCAATTCAATAAATTTAATTAAATTTAATACACAGAATCATTAAAAGGGCTATATATCATAGCTTCAGAAAACCCATTTTCAAAATATTTATATGCATAAAAAATTTTAATTTTTAAAAGTTTGAAATTAAAGCCAACATTTAAATACTTCCTATTTTCCTTACTACGTTTCACTTTTCTAATTCTCTCAATATTTCCTTTAAATCATCCTTTTAAAAAATATCTATCTATTTAGAGAAAGAGGGGGGAGGTAGAAGGTCAAAGGGAGAGAGAGAGAAAGAATCTCAAGCAGACACTGCTGAGCATGGTGCCCAACACAGGGCTCAATCTCATGACCCTAGATCATGACCTGAGCCAAAATCAAGACTGAGGTGACCAACCAAGTGAGCCAGCCAGGCACCCCTAAATCTTTTTTTTGTGGAAGATTTTATTTATTTATTTGACAGAGAGTAAGAGCAGGAGCTGGGAACGAGGCAGAGGGAGAGTGACAAGCAGACTCCTCACTGAGCAAGGAGCTCAATGCAGGGCTTGATCCTGCAACTTGGGGAGGATGACATGAGCCAACGACAAGATGTTTAACCGACCAAGCTCCCCAGATGCCCTCACTGTTAAAAATATATTAGGTATATCTGGGGGAAGAAAATGAAACAGATAAAATGAGGAAAAAATTAAACTAAATTAAAAAATGATTTATCTAGGGATCCCTGGGTGGCTCAGTGGTTGAGCGTCTGCCTTTGGCTCAGAGCGTGATCCCAGAGTCCTGGGATTGAGTCCCACATCGGGCTCCCTGTGGCGAGCCTACTTCTTCCCCTACCCGTGTCTCTACCTCTCTCGTGTATCTCTCATGAATAAATAAATAAAATCTTTAAAAAAAAATATTAAAAAAAAAGGATTTATCTAAAGCTATAAAGGCCTACAGTCCCCCACTCCTTAATTTCAATAGATTTAGTTTATACAGTATTGATTTTTCCACCAGAATAGACAACTTTTAGAATTTAAGGTGAAACATGACAGTCCAAAAAGTTTAAATCACAAATAAGAAGCACAAAGTTTCTCTCACCATACAGAATATTTTACTAGCATTAAAGGAATGGTGGCAAATTTACATCAAGATATTACTATAAAACCTCTTTCTTATTCAGAAAAAGACTTTTAGCTTTTTAATCCTCAGCAAAAAATAGAACAAATGAAGTTCTTTTATAAGAAAGTCAGTCATCTCTCTGGTAGCATAATCAGTACTAAAGCAAAATACTTCACATAATTCAGAATTGTTCATTTTGTGCAAACTGCAAGACACTTGTCAACATTATTTTACAGGAACAAAGAAGCAAAAAAAAAAAGACAATGGTCTTGAATAGTATTTTGTAGGTACAATAATGGCATGTCAGATGACAAAGAAGTAACACAATATAGATTACAAATGAAAAAATTTTCTCAATGGTAACTATCAATTTTATACAATTTATAAAATTAATACTTAATATCTTCTCTAAAATTTTGTAGTCTACTATATTACTCAATATGAAGAAAATATAAGTTTTCTACCAGGGCCCATATAGATGGTCCTAAATACTCTCAGTTTTTCCCCATGCTATATAGATGTTACCATTTTCTATGTGTGTGATGGGGGAAAGGGTAAAAACCTAGAAGAGGCAAGTAAAAAGCAAGGAAACCAACTAATTGCGGAAAAGAAACAGTTTGGGAATGAGGGAGAATATAAGACAATCAACTCCATTTGGAACAGGCTGAGTCTGATGTACCAATAGGGTCTCACATAGGTGTTATCTGCTAATTAAGTGAGATACATAGGCCCAGAATATAAAGCTAGAGACCAAACTTAGAATAAAGGGAAGATTAAACATGGTAATTGAAAGCTATCAGATCTCCTTGAGAGAGTATCAATAGTAAAGGAGAAGAGAAACAAAAAATAAACAGGTAGCTACCTGAAAGCCAAAGGAAGCTAGAGAATCTGAGAAGGAGTATACGAGTCCTTGGAAAAGAACATTTTAAAAAGAAAGAACCAAGTCAAGAGAATCAAATTCCCTTAAGGAGCTCAAAAGTATATAGTATTTGAATCACTGATAAGTTTGGTGAGAATAGTTTAGTAGAGAGCAAAGGAGCCAAACAGTGAATTGAGAACCAAACAGAAAATAAGTTAGTAGAGATAATTCAAGTAAAAGAAAAAAGAGGAGCTAGAGTTAAGGTCAGGAGAAAGGGTTTTAAGATGGATGGGGCTTTCATTTTAAATGTTCATTAAGGAAGGAAGATTGAAAAGAAAGAATAATTCATGGAATAAAATCGTTAATTGCTAACTATTAAAAAAGTCTCAAGTTCTTATCTAAGTTTCAGAAGACTAACAATCTGAAAAAAAACAATTACTAACATCATTACATTCTGAATGAAATTTAGACAGCATTTACATCTTGAAGACCTTTTAATCATTTTTTTGTTATTGTTACAACACTATTCAAAAAGGCAAGTAGGTAAAACATTTGTGTTCACATTTTATTTAAATTCCCGTTCTCGCTCCACCTTTAACTTTCTATTTATCAACTATGTAGTATTCAAGTTTCAGAAATAACATAAAAATCTATCATAATATCAGTAATATTAGAATCATTGTCTAAAATGAATGAAAGTAGAGAACAAATGATTAAAACTTTCAAGCTTGGGCAGTAGTTTCTATCTTGGAGAATGGTTTAGTAACCACTAACAAAAACTGAAGTTGCTTTTAAAATGGCTGGATTTTACAGTAGCACACTTCACATTCATAATAATCGAAGTTGTCATTTCTAATAAACATACTTGTTTCATGAGAATGCTTTTGAAAAAAAAAATTTTACTATGGTTACTAACTTAATTGGGTACTTGAATTAAATAATAATTGGAATATCTCTACTGCAAAAACCAGACTAAATTAATAAATTAATCTCCAATATACCAAAAGATATAAGCCATGTGAAATATTCATTTAACAGATTATCTACTGAATGCTTCCTCTATGACAGGCACTCTTCTGTGATAATTCAAGGGTAAACAAGGCAGAAAAGGGCTCTTCCCACCAAGAACTTAGCCTTATAGCCAAGGAAGATTTAAAATAAAGATATAAATAAGATAATATCAAACAACAGTAAGTACTATCATAAAAATAAAGGAGCTTAAAGAGTAACTGGGAGAAGGTCATGGTTATTTCCTGGTTGGCCAGAGAAGGATTCTCTAAAGGAGACAATACTTGAATTTAGGCTTGAATGAAAAACAAAACAAAACAAAACAAAAACAAAAAAACAAAAAAAAAAAAAACAGCACCCATCATGCATACTATAATCATTCCGGACAATGGAAATAGCCAGTAAAAAGTCATCTGGGGCTCTTTAAGTTCTACATTACTATTCGGCAAAAGTCAACCCCTTTAAAAACTAGCCATCAATTTTAATAAAAATGTATGGATGTGCAACAAATTAATCCTTTTTAAAGTGACCCAATGTAGGGAATAGGATACGGTAATTTACTTTTAGACATAAATACATAAACAAATATTAATGTCTGAAAAAATACTTTAAAAATATTTCTCAGGTGCTTAAAAATGAGCATGTCTTAATGTATATATCATATATGCAGAGCCATATGTGGCTTTCTTGTACATAATGCAAGAGCATTTCTATATTGGATAGGCAGTAAAAATAAAGAGAATCTTACTTTTAGCAAATATGTCAACTGGTGATCCATCAGGCAAAAGCCATGGCCAACCTTTGAACTGCCATGCAGGACCTTGCACAAAAACTGCTACAACCCGATCCCTATAAATAGAAAAGGGACAGAGTTAGAGCTCAAGGGTTGAGACAATATCTCAAACATGAACTCTGATTACTGTAAATCCTTAAGGAAAGGTTTCAATTATTCATGTGGCATAGTCTCCTGTCAACAAATCTGTGAGACATAGCACATTACAGTAACTCTTTGTTACAATGTTATCATTAGGGTGTATTAATGATTGTTATACTTCTTATGCATCTGTTTTTGCACCTAAGTCTTTTAAACATAATTACACAACACAATCCTTATATGCAATCTTTTTTAACCTTTTAATCTGCCCTTCTTCTAGAATAAGGGCCCATTTTTTTAGGGAACATGACTTGATCTATTAATCGAAAAAGTTGGTTTTAAAAGGAAATCATCTAAAATTCAAATACATCTTAAACGCTTTACTTTAACTAAAAACATTATAAATTATAGTAACTCACCAACCATTTTCTGGAACCTCAAAGTCTTATTTTTGAGTTCTTCTATTATTTAGAAAGCAATCTGAGTATAAAAGTCATTAGACTTCAATTTTTCCAATTGTTTACAATTGTTTCACTCACCCTAAATTCTACTAGCATTCTCTTTATTTTTTAAGCCCAACATGGGGCTTGAACTCATGACTCAGATCAAGAGTCAGATGCTTAACTGAGTCACCGAGGCACCCCTATCCGGGGTTTTTAAAGCAATTTGTCTTTCCAACCATTCAATTTTGTTTTCATAAAAAGAACAAATCTTTCTCTAGGCCTTCATATTTCATTAGTTCACAAATTATTTAATTAAATTGAGAAATCATAATAAATACAAAGGCCATAAGCAGTTTAAGCCTAGAACTAAAGAAGTGGGAACAAAACCATAATATAAACAGTAATAGTTAACATTAAGACATACTATGAGCATTCACTATGGGCCAGTATTGTTCTAAGCACCTTATCTTGTACATATGTTAACACAATGAATCTTCCAAACAATCTAATGAAGTGGGTACTATTATTGCCCCCATTTTACAGATGAGGAAACAGAAGCACACGGACAATCCATGAGTCAGAAGAGAGATGGAGAGAAGAAGAATGAGGAGGAGAAATGGAGGGAATGATTACTCTTGTGCACTGGTGATGCTACTGTTCCTGTGTGAGGACTGATAAATCATGACAACAGCCATCTCAGTACTATTACGGAAATAGTTTTAACCTTACAACTCCTTGAAATGGTTTTAGGAATGCCCAGAGGTCCACAGATCACACACTTTGATAACCACTGCATTAGATGAAAACTCTAGAGCCAACAAAGCATTAAACCAGGGTTATCTTCTATTCAAGTAAAAGACCTACAGCAACAATTCAAGTTATTGTGAAAAACCACAGCTTAAAAATCTTAATCTGCTCAAAATCTCTAAGGCTAAAATTAAATCTTAAATAAAAAATTTCCTCCTTCCATAGGATATATGCCCTATGCCGCCAAAACTATCTTTGGTAATGGAGCACATTATTAAATGGCCTCTTAATTTCATGATGTAACTTGTGCCATACAATAGTTGAAAGCCCAAGGTACCTGCCAAACTAAAGGAAATTTGTTGGAGAGACATCACCTAGATCCTACTTGGTCTCACAGGGTTATTAACAGGTAAGCAGGATAATATAAATACTACTCAGTGAATTCTTGAAGGGACAATTAACAGAGAAAGAAAAGAGAAAAGGAAAGGGAAAGGAAAGGAAAGAGATAAGAAAAATATTATTCCTAGGTTATGACACCAATGACTAGGTTATCTAGCTAATATATACAAGCAATATTTTGTAGAAAGGTGACAGCACCTGTATGGTGTTTGTAATTTTTTCTGCAAATAACTGCAAAAATGTGATACAAATGTTGTAATTTTCCTACTTCCTACAATTTTTAAACTTGATATCTGAAATTCTCATCTTACTTCATATAATAAATTTTTAACATACTTATATTCTCAATATAAGTGCCTTGACTTCTTAATGTGTGAAGACTAATGAGTACTTCAAAGGTAAATTTCAGCTAATGCATCAATGTGTTGTGTTATGTGACAGAGACGCACTCTCAGACTCTGTATTTTTATTCCAGCTTAGATTAATAAAATAATTCATATATCTGAGTTTATAGGCACTATATGTTATAAAAGGCTTTATATTTTATTAAAGGACATTTTAATGCAATCAAAGGGCTTAACCAGAGTGCTTATTCTTTTTATTAAATTATTCTCTACAATAAAAGTAACAATCCTTTCATTTATCATTTCTTAGTCAAAAATGTGAATTCTCCAAATAAAAAATCCAGAACTATAGTCTTTCAAAAGATTAGTCCATTTGAAGTTTTGCTCTGAAGGCTGATCCAGAACAAATAAACAGTGTAAATAATTTTTTACTAAGTTTTCCAGAAGCTAGTGTGTTTTTTTTTTTAAGATTTTATTTATTTGAAAGAGAAAGAACAAGTGCGTACATGAGTTGGGGGGGGCAGAGGGACAAGCAGACTCCCCACTGAGTGGGGGGAGACAGTAGAAGACCCAATCCCAAGACCCTGAGATCATGACCTAAGCCCAAGTCAGACGCTTAACCGACTGAGCCATGCAGGCACCCCTGAAATTAGTGTTTCTTATTAAGTAAAATAAAGCTTAGCTACCCAAAATACAAATTTATTTAGGCTTTACTAAACTGTGGACATTATTAATGACTAACTTAGACATTAACATGGTTTTCAGTGATAGTTTCTATTTAGAACTCATGACAAAATGTGATACTTTTTAATTATACAAAAAAAAATTAATGACTACATAAAAGAATAGATCATCTTACCAGTCTTGAGGCATAAGTTTAAGAGGCTGGTCTACTACTCTATAAGGAACTGTGACACTAATTGCCGTGCCCCCTGGTTGCATCTGATCTTTTCTTCTCTGTATTAAAGTTTCATTTTCTCGTTGGCAGCCTTGTTTCTTCTTTTCATCTGATGGGACAAATCTTTGAAAAAAGATGAGAAAAGGTCAAATGTTTCAGTGATACAAATGGTAAAAAAAATTGATAGTTAGATCAAACTTTTTTTTTTAATAAACTCCTCTGCAGGGATCCCTGAGTGGCGCAGCGGTTTGGCGCCTGCCTTTGGCCCAGGGCACGATCATGGAGACCCGGGATCGAATCCCACGTCGGGCTCCCGGTGCATGGAGCCTGCTTCTCCCTCTGCCTCTCTCTCTCTCTTTATCATAAATAAATAAAAATTTAAAAAAAAAAAAAACTCCTCTGCATGTACAGATCACAATGAGTGGAGAGTATAATACCTCTAATAACCAACAGTATTCAGCTCACATAGGCCATAAATTGGTGTGTATGTCTGTATGTGTATCTCTCACACACAGACACAATTTATATTCATTCATTTATCACTTAGCATTTTCCAAAGTTAGATAAAAGACCAAACTATTCCTTGATTTTTCAAATGCTAGGAGAAGGAAATTCTATGATAAACCAAAAGATCAGCTGAAATGAAGATGATGTGGATTCCTCCCAGATAGGTGACTTAGCCTGTCCAAGAGTTTCACAAAACTCTATTTCATGGATTATGACTTAGCAAAATTAAGAAATGCTATCTCATTTCACGGTTGCTTCGCAAATTTTAAAGGAGGAAATTAAATAAATGTATATCAATTGTCTTAGTATAAATACTGGTAGTAATTTAGTAAATTATCAACTCTACCATGTGATTCAATTCTCTACCATCAACATATTCTCAAAAATAATTTAAGAATCTGCAGAGCTATTGCCAGTTCTAGAGTGTTGGTGTTCACAAAGCATTTCAAAACAGTCTTAAAAAAAAAAAAAAGCATACTCCTAATACACTCTATTAGCATATTTTACATTGAGAGTAATTCGGCTTCTAAAGTTTAAGACAGATAAATAGGATATACACGAGAGCTTGCACTTGGTAGAGTCTTTTGAAAAATTTCAATATCACATGCTGGATTCATCATTAGTAATATTAGTCTTGTATTTATGCAAGTTTTTAGTAGATGGTGATTGTGATAAATGGAACTTCATTTCTGAACTGTTTTACATATCCATGTCAGAATCTGGTGGAAAAGTTAAGATTTCCGTATCATTTAAAAATGTCCTTCAGATAATCACTTTACTCCCTATGGATTTTGGTGATTTATTAATCAAGCCCACTTAGAAAATGCCAAATATAATACTAACGCTGAATAATTAAACACTTTAAAATTAACATACACGCATTGTTAAAAATAGTTTTAATATAAAACTACAACAAAAATGTATTAAGTGAACAGTAATACATCATGCTGTTACACAATATACATAGTTGTTCAAAACATATAGTTCCTGCCCTCTTGAAGTATATGTTCAAGATACAAAGTGGTCACACAAGAGAAAGTGCTTTAATTTATCTCAACCATTCTATTAACTAGATGGGATTAAAATGTTTACATTCTGAAATATAATAATGTATCTCACTCTTCTCTATCTTTTGAAATTTTAATGTAAAAGTATAAAATTACTTATGCAAAATTACCTATAATCTTTAATGAATTATAACATGTACAAATGAGTGATCTATAATATCTTTTAAAAATCTATTAAATATCTAATGCAACTTCTAATGCATTAAGAAAAAATGAGTTACATACCATTTGCATGTTCACGTGTTTGTTTATATAAGTTTTACTGAAATTCAGAGTCATTAACATGGTTCTTTATTTAACTACCACCCTATAATTTTTACATGCTCTAGTATTTTAATTTCTGAATACATCTTGGTCTTTAGAATAGTAGCCTTCACTATAGTAAATACAGCTGTATTTCAAAATGTTTTTCAGCCCTGATCTCATGTGGTAACATAAGGACAGATCTTTTATCCTACTCTCATAAACTTAAAGTTAGAATAACAATGCAGACTTCTCTACCCACGGAAGACACTAGCAAACTAATTTAACTTAAGCTTTTTTTACTAGATTTCACTTACTCCTAGAGTAAGAAATAAAGCTCAAATTCTGCTCAAGGGAGGGAACCTAACAGAAGTTCCTTCTTTCATAAAGGTTGGATTCTCAGGGATTAAGCACAGTATAATGGTAAACTAGAAATAAATCCACTGCCCACTCTTTTTCTTATGCTCCCACCCCAGGCCTTATCAATATCCTGGCAACAGCAAGGAAGATCAAATTCAGAATTGCAAATCTGAAGGAAGAATTAACCACCCTGACCACAATGACTGACTGAGAAATCAACACATTATACAAAGAGTCTTAATCCTGGAATTTTTGCTGGAATTACTGGGAAACAGGCACTCTCTTTCTACTGTGATTAGTAGCCTTGACCCTGAGTGGGGAGATGAGAGATGGAGAGACCAGCTCCTGATTACATCATTTCAGCACTGAGTCTAGCTATGTCAGAAGCCAGGACTGTTCAGTTATGTTGAATCAGTAAGTTATTTTTTGATAAAGCTACTTTGAGTTGGTATTTATCATTTATAACTAAAAGTGTTCTAACAAACATAACCAGAATTACACAACTAATGTGATGGGTGAATATATGTGATTTGGAGAGATTATGATGTCCATTGACATCCAATATTTGCAATTTATTCCACTTTATATTACATGAGTAAAGGCATATTTTGATATGACTAAAGTTATTACTATTTAAACAAATACAGTTCTACTTAAATAACTGTACTAGTACTGTCAAAGAATACAATTCAAATAAATGATATAGCTAAATAAGTTCCAGAATTTATGTTATTTTAAAAACAGAGCAAGTTTATGAATATTTTCCGGTTAAAAATATTTCCTTTTTCCTAAATTAAAGAAGCTGAAATTTGAAAAGTAGAGAAAAAAAAGAAAAGAAAAAGAAAAAGAAAAGAAAAGAAAGAAAGGAAAAGAAAAGAGAAGAAAAGAAAAAAGAAAAGAAAGAAAAAGACAAGACAATGTCTGGATGTTAGAAAAAAACCTCAAACTGAAAATTTAATTCAAAGTGATGTAAAACTGGCAATGTTCCCAGGTACTTAGCGAATACAAATGCAAACCTTTCCTGGAGTACCCTACCACCCCCATGTGCGCCCCACCTTCATTTTGGAACTCAAAGAATTTCCACAGAAAACAATTCTAAGGAAAATGAACAGTAAATGAAGACAATGAAAAACATGAAATGTACTAAAAAACTAAACACACAGGAGAGGAAAGGGGGTGGGGATTACACAGAGCTAAGGGGCCAGGACTCAGAACTGACACAAAATACAAATCCATACACTTAATTCTAAATGAATCCCAAAATGGAATATATAAGAAATTACACCTAGGCAGAACAGATAAGCAAGTTTAAATTAGTCTTTAAAATAACCAGGTAAAGCAGATTTCCTTCAAAGGACTGATTATCACACTAACAGGTGACCTATGAACCAAGACAAGAAGATAGAATACAGTGCAATGGTATCTTCAACATAATGAGAAAAAAAAAAAAAAAAGAAAAAGAAAAGAAAAAAGAAAAAGAAAAAAAGAAACTCCTATATTTGTTTTCCAAAGTGGTTGAATCTTTTTGCATTACCTGTGACTGCTGAGAACATAAACTATTCATGGTCCTGCATGAACTCTAGTAATTGTTCTGCCTGTTTCCTCCCCAGGCCTCAAGTAGTTTTCTCCTATGAATGTGCTCAAGAGTATTTGACTGATACAGGAGGAACCCTCTACATATCTCTGAAGCACCCTCGATGTGCAATCTCTCCCTTTAGAACTCTGTCCTGTGAGGATACTATCATGGCCAGTTTCACAAGTGCCATCCAATCATTTTATTTTAAATAAACTTGAGTCTTACTAAAACTTCACTCAAGATCACATTTATAATTCTATATAAAATGTACTTTTTAATACTTCATAATATAACCTTAATTTTGTTATTTAGGGATGTCAAAAGTGAAGTTGGGTTTTGTCTTGTTTCATTTACTTATTGAAGAGCTAAAAAACGGAAAAATCCTTAATTTTACATGAAACCAAATAGAATCTATGCCAAAATGAGCTATGGGGTACAGCCAGTACCATAATTGTGTGGAGGAGGTTTCAATTATGCATTAATTACATAGCAAAGCCTCCAGCTGACTCAAACTGTAGGGGAGATGTCAGTTGCAATGAGGTGTTAAACAATGAAGGGAGTGTTTTATACTTAGAAGAAAAATTAGGCTCAGTCTATCCTAAGAATGTGGTCTATTTAATTGTTTGGTTTCTCTGTTATAAATCCAGGGAGAAAAACACTAAAGTTTACTTTGTGATTTCTTTGCACTGTTTACCATCTTCCGTTATAAACAATTAACATTTAGATTTGTAATACATTCAGATGAGCACCGCAAAGGTTCTGGACAGTGAAAAGCTGAAGGCAGAATTTCTTGTTTAACATTCCAAAAACATACCATGAATTTTCTGTAACCATTAAGGCATATTTATAAAAAACATAAGTAGCTGTCAATTACTAAAAACTGTGAGTTGGAAATACCAAATTCACAAATCATAGAATCAAAGAACTAGAAAGGGCCTTAAAAAAAATCACCTGATAGTAACAGCAAGTGCCAAAAATCCAAGACCAAGTACAATGACACTTCATAGGAACTAAAATCAAATCCCAGATACAGATATAACTATCATATATCAAAGAAGGAACTTAAAATTACACATAAATACACTAAATGAATTTACAGCTTGTACAAACACACACAAAAACCAAACTCTGAATTTCAGGTAATACAAGTGCCATTCTCCCAATTTTCTCAATGTGTTCCTCTCACCTTTCTGTTTCCTAGACATTTATTTAATATCCATTATTGGGCAAATCCATTTTCAAGAATGGATGTAGAAATAACAACGGAGGAACAGGCCCTCTTCTCTAAAGAATTCACAATTTACTTGGAATTGTAAATTCCAACTGGGTGCCAGATTATAAAACACAGAAGCCATCACAAAACAAAAACA